TTTGCCTTTTGAATTGATTTGGCAATTATTCTTGTACTGCACATCATTTACAAACACTCAGATATAAATATTTACAGTTGCAAATTTGCGGTCAAATCATTTCTGTTCTCTGATTGAATGGCTTCTGTAGCACACCAAGCAGTGCAAATTGTGAATTTTACTGTTAAATATACAGCTCAGTGGAATGTGGGTGCTGGAACGATCAAGTAAAGTGGATACATACTGACTGCAAATATGGCCAAACTAATGTATTTAAAATAGAAATAAATATTTGCAGGCAAGTTTTCTTCATATCTTATTGCAATAGGAATTAGGAAAAGGCCTCATGTGTTGTGCTGCCCCAGACAACAATGACTAATGTCCTTTGGCACTGATATTTTTATTGTTTATTCAGTTCTTCTCACTTTTTCCTTTGTTTTCATTTTTTTTCCCCTGCTGATTGTGTTTTACGTCTTTCAAGGATGACTGCAAAATTCAGGAAAATAAGAAGTCTCTTTAAAGGAGGATGACTTAACCCCACAGTGAAGCTATGGAAAGAGAGGATCCAGAAGCTGAACATTATGGATTTCTGATGGTCTGAGGGAAAGGGTTAATTCACAGTGGCTTAATTCAGCCAAAGGAGACTTGCCTCCTAAACTGCCCTGTATTTATTGGAGAAGGAGAGGCTTCTCTAGAGGATGATTCAGAACAGGAGCCTAGTTTTAAATGCTCTGAATCATGCTGCTAGTCTGCTTATTTTGAACGGTGCGGTTTATCTTCCCTCCATTTCCCACTTGTTGCCCTGATTGATGAGTAAGGACTTATGCAGAATGAATGAATTTCACCTTTTATGAATAAAGCATGCCATTGTGAGTATTTAGAGAACTTGATTTGAGACTAAAGAACAAGTGAAAGCATTAAGATGTATTATTTTATGTATTTCTCTCTCTCAACAGTTAGAAGGACCTTTAAAAATTCCAGCTTTAAGCATTTAAGTCATTTAATACAAAGCAATAATTCAAAGTTAGTTCATGTGATTTCTTGTTTTTTTTTGAAGCACTCCAGAAAATTGTTTTTCCAAAGTTCTTTCACTTTGAAATGCCTGCACAGAAGCACTTGAGGCTGAAAGTAAAGCTAATCCATTTGCAGATAGCACGTTCAGAAAAGAACAAAACCTGTGAAATTACGAACAGTTTGTTCTGAAGAAATAAAGATGAAGGCATTAGCATTCAAAGCAATCCTAAAGCAAAAGTAGGTATTTTGATGAAAATGCATTTGAGAAAAGAGAGTTGGATGCTCAGTTGGTCTTAAAGCCAGACCAGTGGTTGCTTGGTAGGGATGCAAGTGATGCTCAAAGGAAATTTGTCACTGTGTGTAGCTCATGAAAGAGCATGAAACAACTTTCAAACTGTTTGTGACTGACTCCCTCCTGGCATGAAGTGCTTGTGCTCAGAGAAGAGCTTCACCATCACAGCACACCAAACTGCTGGAGCTTCTGCTCTTGGGGAAGAAGCATCATGGGGCTGCTGGAGCAGGCACATCTGAGTGAGTTTTGGATCAATGTGCTGAGCTGCAGATGATGCCCAGAAATGAAACTCCTGACCAGCAGCCTCCTCAGGGCCTGCTGTAAGTGCTGTCCACTGCCTTGCTCTCCTTGGTGTACTGCCTAAGTCTTTTTCTTTGTGGCACTGGGGATGCACAGGGCTGTGGCTGGCATCCCTCTGGCACATCAGCATCTGTGTGATGCCTCTGAGCTGAACCAGGGTAACTTCACAGATGCTTCTACAGGTGTTGAATAGTGCATCTCTCTTAGGTGATCTCCAGTAGGAAACTCAGGACTTCCAGCTGCCAAGGCTGTTCTGCAGGGACCTCCTGTCCCAGGCAGCCACTGGTGGTCTCACTTGTGACACTGACTCCCTGCTGACATCCACTGCTCTTTCCCTGTGCCTTGTCCCCCCTGTGCTTGCTGAGGGCTTAGGAAGGACTTCAAGCACACCCACAAATGATTTATCATTAAAAGACTGTTTTAAATATTATTTCCATTATGGGCAAGATCCATATGGGGATGTGTGCAGTTCAGAAATGTTGTAGGAGGGGAGCGATGAGTGAGCTCCTTAGGGCTCTGCCAGGTGCCTGTAGCATGTGTGTGCTCCACTTGAGTCACAAACATGAATTGAGAAGAGGGGAGGCCACAGGGCCATTGCACAGAGGTGAGAAACTCTGTGTTGCTGAATTCAGTGATGGTGTAAAGGATGCTTGAAGGTGGCTTCCTGCTCGTGATGTGGTACATTGTGGAGCAGCGTGCCTGTGGTTAACTCTTCCTGTCATGGGTGAACAGACAGAAATGATATTTGGTTTTTTGTGCAGTGCTAAAACACTCTTGTAGTCTCTTCACATTTTCATGTGAAAAGTGGGAACAAAATTCTGCCGTCACTAAAATGAGTTGTCAGAACAACTGCATGTATGAGTTTAATTTCAATTAATATTTAATAACTAGCTAGCTTTTCTTGGGATAATGATTTCACAAGAAGAGAAAGATCAGAGCAGACCTCCTGCTAGTGTAGCACAGATACAGCAGGAACTGCAGAATTGCAGGGTCAATACAGCTGAATGAGATCCTGCCATCTGTACTCATTGTGGGTAGCTCTCCACTCCTTGAGAGTCTGCACCTGGGTCAGCAGGACTGTGTAAAGGAAAGGACACACTCTGTGTTTATTGAGGAGCAGAGTTTGACCCTAACTGCAAAATACTCCTTCCCTTGCAAAGAATAAACCAGGCATGGCTTAAGGCAATCCTGGGAGCCTGCTGCCTTTTGTGAGGGGGGTGAGATGTCTCCTCACAGATCTTGCATGTTTTGAGTCTGTGCTGTCCAGCCCTTTCCACAGTCACATAAATTCCTCACTCAGCTGTGTCATGGCAATATTATTTTATATAAGCAGAATTTAATACAACAATTTCTACAACATGTTTGGAACAGCAAACACTTCTGTATGGCAAACAATGCTAGAAACACTCAACCATCAAACAATAGCTCTATGGTTTTGACATCAATGTCAAAAGTAATATTTCTACTCTCAGCAGGTTAGCAGATATAGGTGGTTGTGGTCCACAGATAATAGGTGCTGATTTGTTTCCTCATAGTTGTATTGGCTCTGCAGTGCTAAAAGTCTTGTTAGTTCTTGTCCTTGGCATCGTCAGATGCATTACTCTGAATTTTGAGAGTTACAAGAGCCATTAGGTACAAAGGAGGGAACAAGAAGACCCACAGCATATGTTCAGTCTGCAGGCGAACAGCACTGCCTGTGCTAACCCCGATCCATGTGCATAAAGATGGTCTGGGAAGTTAATTATGACAGGCAAAAAAAAAAAAAAGAGAAAGGCCTGTAGGAATTTGCTCCAAATGACAGCAAGTGCAGTTGGCAGGATGACTGAAACTCAGTCCCTGAAGAATCCCTCCAGGATATGTAGCTTCCCTGACACAAAGTGAGTGGGCTTATTAGCTGGATTTGATGAGAGATTCATTTGCTACCCATAGCCAGACTAACATGTGTAATTCTTCCTCTTTCTAATTTTTTTTTTGCCATTGGATAGGGGCCAGCTCCATAGATCAATTTGTTTATTTGTGGTGGTTTTTTTTCTGATGATGGATGAACCAACTGATAGTGCCATCACCGCCGTGTGAACCCAAGGATAAATTCATGGGCTGTTAGCAAAAGCACTGCCTAATACCTGTCACCTCCAGTGAGCAGGCACTGCTCCTTTCTCCCAACTCTCAGGATGGCTGGAGGCACCTTTTCCTTTAATGTTTTATTTTTCACTGAGCTGCACCGTGTGGTTAATTTTCCTTTCTACTTTGCAGCTTCTCATCACCAGCCTGCTCCATTACGTAGGTTTATTCCACTTTCAGATATCACAGCTCGACAAGTGTGAGGCACAGGGAGGAGCAGCAGCACAGATTTCAGAGGATCTGGCTAATTTCTCTCCTGGCTGGCATTAAGGAGCAAATAACTGAGAGTTTGTACCTTTTCATTGGAAATTAATCCCCAAAGGTATGTGGAGACAGAGGAAAGATGGTTTTCAGGCACGGCCCACCAGATGCCAACAGGGGGAGTTTCAGCTCTGCCTCAGATTTAGGCCTCTGACAGTCTCCTCACCTTTGCTGATATTGATCATGAGGGATAAAAGTTATTTATTTTCCCACATTTCAATAACATTTCTTAACGCCTCTTTCCTTTAAAGAAACACTTACGCAACTCTTCTATAGATTGAAAATGAAGACGCAGTTCATATCTCTTGTTGAAATCCTTTTAAAAAGAGACCAGTGATGGAATGGTTCTACACCTTGCTTTGCTGGAAGGAAAGAAAGCTAATTTGCCTCTGGGACAAATCAAAACCAGATTTTAGAAAGCAATCTCAAACTTCTCTCTCCTCCCTAAAAACCCTGATGATGAGGCACAGTTGACTTCTCTTGCTCATTTTGCATTGACTGAGACTTGAGTGATAAGATTTTAGAAAACCAAAAATCTGCTTCTGGCCTACCAGCTTAAACAAATTAATTCATAAACAGATAGAAAACAAATATATAAAAAATATACCTTTTTGATATATTTGTTTGTTTAAGGCGGCAATAAATGGAAGGACTTCCATTGTGAGGAGGCAGAAAAACATCTTATGAAAATGAAGCTCAGTCCTTAGAGTGGGGGTGTAAACCATGCTCGTGTACAAATGAATGGAGGAAGGTTTTTTGAAGAGACATTTTGTCTCTTTATAAACAGGATGGATTATGTCTGTGCAATGCTGCAGTCAGTTCTGCCAGGTCCCAGTGAACTGCAGTTTCTTTTCTTTTCACTAAATTTCTCTTTTGTATTTGAAAAATTGTTTTGGAAATTGGCTTCAAAGAAGAAGGGCTGTGTATTTTTTGTAACAGAAGCATGATATTTCCAGTTGCTACTGAAGAGGGTATCTTCTGTATAATGAGCCTCTAGGGTTCACTCAAGTTGCATTTCAATCATTTTTTGCAGCCATCCAGACCAGACTTCAGCTGCTGAATCTGCTTCATTTCTGGGTGTGAAAACATGTGCAGATTAAATCCAAAGCTCTTCAGGAGAAAGCTGAAATGTCCTGAGTCATCCAGTGAGAGTTAACAGTAGTCTCTTTTCAGAGACATATTACCTCTGGCTCTGAGCTTCAAAACTACAGCTCCTTTCAACTACAATGTCTCAGCTGAGAGGGTTCAGAGCTGTGATCTTGTCAATAGAGGACAGGATGGAAGAAATTGCCCTTTGGCAGAGTTGGGCAAATCCTGGAAAATGGACTTCTTCCTATTCTGTGGAAAGAGCATTTTTAAGGGATTAAATATTCTTCATTTTCCACTTGGCATATGAAATTTGAACCCGCAAGATTTGTATTTTTCTTCATACTCATGCATGGGAGGGCCATGCTCTGTGTAATATCCAAAAACATATGAGTAAGAATGTCTGTGTATATATGTATGTATTTGTGTATATATTTATATATATAAACTGTAATTGCCTATTTCAGAAATCCAAATTAAAATTCATATCTACAGCAGTGATATTCATCATTTTACTCAGTCCAGTTTTGCAGTCAGTTAAAAACCTTTTTAATTAGTAGCTATCAGCAATCCTGTGAGTGGGTTGCTGAGTAGAGAAGGTTAATGCTCTATCTGAGGGGGAAGGGAGAGAACTTGCTGTAGGAATTAGGACATTTTTCTTGATTTGATGAAATTGTGTTGGAGAGAAATCCACTGTGTCTTGATATTGACGTAATAGCATTGCATATGCTGAAACATCCCTCTGTAATGGGCTGATCCAAAGGGCAAGGATGGCCTGGTGAGGTTTGCCGAGATGCTCTGTCTATTCCCATGCCAGCAGACCAGCCAGGAGGGGTGAATGCTTCCAGGGGTATTAGGAGGGATGCCAAGATCAGTCAGGGCTGGCAGGTTTCATTAGGACAGTTGCAATATTGTGGTAATACATCTGTCTGGGCATGGCTCTTGAGTCAGAAATGGAGAGTAAAAGTAATTCCCAAGGATACTGAAGTAGGTCACTCCATCCCTGACTGTGACCCAAATTTCTCCCCTGAGAATGAAGCCTCATTTCACACCCCAGCCAAGCAGTGTGAAGACAGGGCTGGAAACCATTCCAGTTCTCCTGTGTGTGAACTTCTGCTCAGAGCCCAGACTGGTTGTTGAGGCCACTGGCAGAGAGTGAAAGAGAGGAAAGGCATGTGGATGTAGGGAGGCTGTTCAGACCAAGAACTGAGAGAGGCTGTGTCACAGGATTAAGGCAGCTATGCAAGCTTGCGCAGGTATTTCCACTTGCGCTGTCCTCACACCTTCTCTGAGGGGAGGTTTTTGTCCTGGACACAAGGACTGTTTGTACTATGCCATGCACCACACACACACACACAGAGCCCCTGGCCACGTCTGCTTGTGTGGACATGCCAGTTTGCACCGTGCCAGGTGTACCCTGGAAAAGGGAACAGACAGGGAAGGAGCTGTGGAGCAGCAAACTCTGGCTGGGATGGCTGTGGGAGCAGGGCCTGCAGGGCCTGGCTGGGGGCCATGCTGGGGACCAGGCCTGTGTCTCCTCTGAGCCCTGCTGGACTCTGAGGCAGCTGGGCTGAGCTCTGCTGAGCTCTTTGGGTTTCAGCAATGAGGATCCCAAGGCTATATTCTCCAACTGTGGGATCTGATCTTGGTTTGGGAAGCATACAAAATATTGCTTGGGAAACGTGCAAAATGGCCACAGCAGGATTGGGGTATGTCTTTCTGTGTCTTTGGACAAGACGAAACTGCTGCTGTCAAAATACCCACCATGTGAAGCACCAAGGGTCAAAATGGTGTTTTAAACAGGATAACCCATTCAGTGGGGAGGTAGGTGGTGCATGCACCACTTGCACAGCTGGCTTTGCAAACCACAAAATCAGAAAGAGTAAGTAGGGAAGCATCAGTTGACTTGTAGAATGAAAGTGGACATTTGAGGGAAGTACATTAAAATTGTTTAATGCTAAATGAAATAGCAATAAAAAAATGCCTTATGTCTCTATCTATAACTCCCAGGCAGGCTTACATGGACAGTAAATAAACCAGCATGCTTTTATGGAGTAAGGCCAAGATGCTGTCAAGATCACATATCTTGTAGTCAAAAGTGATATAGGATCATACTGTCTCTAAAGAGAAAAGCGACAGCTACAGAGGGGAAATATCTGTAGAAGAATTGTTGATTCTGACAGCTGTGTGTTTAAAGCACAAAATCCCATGAAACACCACCGGGAGTTAGAGAGGAATGTGAGGCAATTCTTTAGAACAAAACAAAACAACAAAATGGGAAGCAAGTAAGTTGTGTCTACCATGTGCTTAAGAACAATAGTGCTGAGTCAAAACCTGCTGGAATTGGTTGGGAATGCTGTGGTTTAGCAAGCCCAACTGAGTTGAACTGGAATGCTCTTTTTTGTCTTTCAAAAAGCCTGTCAAGGCTGGCAGAGATCTGGTCAGCTGTTCAAGCCCTGCTGAAGAGCCCTCTGGTTAGGGGCCCAGTAGAAAAATTAAGGGTCAGGCAGGTTGTGTTTGAGCAATGTGTGGAATGGGTTTATTCTGCATGGAAGAAAAACGTTTGTTGCCTCAGAAAGATGTGTCCTTGTGCACTCTTCTGAAGCAGGGGATTGCTGTGTAAATAGGAATGTGAGCAGCAGTCGGGGGAATTATTTCATGCTTGTGACGTTACACAGACTAGTTTAGCTCTTCATTTAAGGGCTCATGTCCAAATTGATTCAGGTCCAAGTCAGAGCTTTGGTCTTGCACCTTGCTCCCTCTCTTCTTGCCAGCTCTGATATTTGCATGGTCATGTCATGAGCCAGTTCAGGGAACTAAACTTCTTACAGGCCTCAACTTTTTCTGCAGAGTTACTTTTTACCTGATTTGACTCCCTGAACCAGCTCATAGTAAGATCATAGCAAGGCCTGGTACTGGCACACAACATCTTGCTGGAATTTGTGGCTGGGGTGAGAAGGAAATTACAGGACTTGGATTGGTTGAGCTCTTGGGGAACTTCAACTTACAGCAATTCATCCTTCCTCCTGCTCCACTGCATCCACTCATAGACCTTCAGTCCCTTTGGATATTTTATATCCACATTTACCCAACTGTAGACTCTTTAACTGGACTCCTGCACTCATCAGCATGGGTCCATTTGGGTCTGTGAAATGCTGTGAGTTCTCAGCTTGGAAGGCTTAAATCTCACCACCCTGATGTCTCCTTCTCCGGTCAAGACAACAGGGGTATATAGAGAGGTACAAAGACTCCCTACCATGTAAATGAGTTAATTCTGTCTTGTTTTGGGCACATCTTGGGAAGAAAAATGGGTTGGTGCCAATGTCTTGGCTTCATCCAATGCTGGTGAACCTTAAGATCATCACTCATCCTCTGGGCACAGGCAGGATCTGAAGTCACATCCATTTAATGTTAGAAGGTATCTATGCATGAAAAGAAATAGATCTTAGGATGGTAATGATTTGCTCCCATTTTCTTTATGGGGCCACAAGTATGAACACAAATGTGCACTTTGGTAGAACTGGTAGAGAACAGGGCTTCAGAGCATGGTCTCAAATGGTGTCCCCTGGGAATTTGCCTTACCAAACAACAACGTCTCTTTCAGTTCAAAGGAAGTCAAAGTATTTTCAAAATTTGCTTTGTAAGTAACAGTTGCAGTTGCTGCAGAGATATTCAGCAATTGTGGCTCAGTGTGGGAAGTAGCCTGTGAAATCACGAGAGGTGGGGAAAAGTCCCAATGTACAATTTCTCTCTTGAGTGTGGGTTCCACATTTTCCAGACCCTAACTCAGGACTTCTCAAATTTCACCTTTTCTGACAGTTTGACTTTACTTCCATTTACCAGCCATTGTCGTTATTTTGTGTCTCCATTGCTCATCTGTTTGCCATAGCAATTTCTGCTATCTCTATCTATATCTATGTTATGTTAAAACACATAACACAGCTTATGTGTTTTAACTTCTAATGACTTCCTTAATGTTTCCTTGGTGTTCCTCTGTTGCTGGGTATAGAATGCAGGAATTTTTTCCCCCCAGAATGAGCTTGTAGTTACCTGAAGGTTGAAGAAATGAACATTGTATTTCAAGGCAGTAGCACACAGCAGTGAATAAAGTAAGTGATGCTTTTCACTTAGCCTGTTTTTTTTCACCAAGAGCAGACAAGTGACTATTCCAATAATTAAAAGGAATATACCTGGAGAATAAGCTGCATAATGAGTGCCCCAGATGCTGAAACTTCAGCTCTCTGATTGTGCTGTTGGTCTCCACAGATCTAAAATGCAGAAGGCAAATTCCAGTTTAGAGCTGCTGCTTTCCAATGGTAGCATGAGCTCTGGTATCAGCACTAGTTAAAGAACATATTATTTTTATTATATTAATTATTCTTTTCCATTGCATGTCTCAAAGTGACACCTAACAGGAAGAAGACTAGGGAAGAAATAAATACTGAAATGTGATAGCATACATTTTTGGCGATTTACCCACTGTCAGAAGTGAAAGCAGTGATCTGATAAGTGTTTCTAGTTTTAATATACCTGAAGAAGGGAGAGAATTACTCCCACTATGGACCTATCTATGGATGGTTTTTGTCATATGGAAATATGTATTTTCTATGCCCAGGGGTGATGGGACAAAATCTAGAGTAGTTGTACTCCTCTATGTATGAGTAAACTGGCTGTATTTCTCCCTTTTTCAGAGGATATTCATCTTGCTTTTTAATCTTAGAATATAAGCATGGCTGAATGTCAAAGAAAAGGCTTGAAAAAAACCCAGTAAATTTCTTTTTCTTGTTATACTGCTTTGGACACCCTTTTATGAATAAAATGGCACGGCCAAGCGTGAAGTAACAAAGGAATTGTAAGCAGTGGCCAGCATGTGGGAAGTCCAAACTATCTACAGCTGAAAACGTTCTTATTAGAAATGAAGGGCAAACAGGAATATAATTTATTATTGCCTCTCTATGTGGCTTCAGAGATCACATAATCCAAAGTAAAAAATGGCATGCATATGTTCCCTAAGATATTCTTCACCATAGAGGGACTATATATCAAAACCTTATTTCCTGGTAATGAATTTTAAATAAGTGCCCAGGGCATCAGGTCACTGATGTTTCCACTTTGCAAATTGGGTGGGCTATGAAAGCCCCTAGAGCCCTTCAAAGGCGCCTTAAAAAAAGATCCCAAGCTTTAACTGACCAAACTTTTCAAGAAAAATACCTGAAACAATTAGGAGAATGAAAACCAGGAGGTCAGATTACTTGGCCCATGGCTGAGGATTTACATAAATAGGCCTAACCTTTGACTTGAAAATAAAAGGTAAGTACAGAGCCCTGACAGAACAGCAGGTCATTGGTATTTACTCTGTAAAGTACTGCCTCTGATGCTATGACAAAAATGCCAGGAATTCCACTGATCACTGTGTGCTGATAGGGCTCAAAGGTATGCAGGCAGCTAACAGAAACCCAGCCTACCTGACTGATCGAAACTGCATTACTCCCACGCATTTATAACCCGCAATCTGTGAGCGTGGGAAAGCGTGCAAGGCCTCAGACTAATTCCCCAGGAAAAAAAAAAAAGGAGAAAGTTGCTGTCCTTAACCAGTTTTTTTTTTTTTAAATGGTAGTTTGGGCAATATATAATAAAATTAACAAAAATTCTCTGAGTGAGCAGCATCTTGAAGCATATTCTTCACAGTGTGTGCTGCTGTTCAAGAGACTCCAGAGCTGGTCCAGAGCTGGTGTTGCCCATGCAGGCTGAGATTGGTACCACATTCATCATCTTGGGACTTTGTTAAAGATGAGCTGTGCTTCAAGTGTTGAACTGGTAGCCAGCTGTAGGAAGCCAGTCCCTGGGTTAACTGAGGAAACTCTAGAGAGCAAACCTGCAGGAGAAAAGCCATGCTGTGTGTTTGTGCTACATTTTGTCAAGCAATGGCTGTGTGTTCACAGGTGAGAGAGGGAAAGGTGAGCAAAACAAATTTATTTTATTTTTTTAGTTCTAGTACAATAGCAAAGATGCTTTAGTTATTTTTTTCTTTTCTACATGGATAGCAAAGAAAGGAGGACCCCTGTGACAGTGGAAACAATAAGGGCAGAGTTTTTATGCTCATGTTTTATAGAGAGAGATTTGGTTTCCTGTTCCAGTTTGAGACACAAGCACACACCAAGTATCCTGCAGGCTGTTTCAAACTTGTTTCACTAATTAATCAAAAGTGATCCATTACAGAAAACCTGCAGGAATGTCAGAGATGGATGCTTCTGCTCTACTGTTTTTGACTTGCTTGTTGCAACAGAGGGGGAAGCTGTTAGTGCCTGTCTAGTAAATTATTGAGGGATGGTGTAAGAGAGCCTGCCGCCTTCCTCTTGAAGGGCCAGGAAGCCTGGGGCTAGCCAACCTCATGCTGCTTTCCCTGTCTGCTAGACCACTGTGGGGTTTTGGAAGGAGGTGGAGGAACACCCCACAGCTGGGTATTGATCAAGAAGACAGGCTGGCCCCATGCCCTGGGCACTGCCTGGCTAAACCCCGGGATTGGAAATCTGGTCAGGGAGTGCTGAAGCAGAAGGAGACAGTGGCCACCTGAGGATGGTCAAGCAGGGTGTCCCAGCACCCATATCTGACCAGCATGGCCAGGGTACCCCTGGGCACAACATCCTTTCCTCTGTGGCCAACAGGCATCAACTCAAAGGGAAGTTAAAACCCTTTGAGGGACATCTAGTCTGGAGGATGTTCATGGTGACTACAACCCCTTTGGTGTTAGTCCTGGTGCCTCCCCTCACCAACCTCAAGTGCCTCCTCCAGTGGACCCCACTGGCCCTGGTTTTCCTGTACAGAGCAGTAGCCAGTGGCCCCTCTTCTGAACCAATTCTGTCATCCTCTCATGCTAGGAGGGCTGCACAGCTTTGGTGTCCCTGTGGAGGCGTGCTGTGCTGGCACTGTGTCACTGGTGCACCAGGCTTGGAGGCCACAGGGCAGAGGTGTTCCCTACCCAGTCCCTGTACTCAGTCTCTTGCATGCTGAGCTGTGTTCCCTGCCCTGCTCTCATCATCTGCTCCTGTTTGGCAGGCAGGCTGTTAAGAGCTGCATCCTTTGTGAAGTGTTATCCCTGCACAGTCCACTCACAGACTGCTCTTGAGTGCTCTCAGACTAGATTTTGGCCGGTGAGATAGATTTTGTGGAATGCTGAACTTGGTACCCTTACCTTGACCATAGAGCAGCAGACTGGCTGTATTCTTCTTCTGAGTCTCTTTTTACTGCAGTGTCCAGTATGTAAATCCTCTTATCCCATTTTGCCATCCAAAACATGTTCTGGCTTCCTGTGAAATGCCTGAGGGCAGAATTGAATTGATCTTTATGTGATCTCTGATGGTAGGTGGCCTTTTCTTAATGGTGCTTGTGCCACTCCATTCTTGCAAAACCACAGGAAAATATTTAGTATGACAGGACTTTCAAACATTGTGCTGCCATTTTCTTTCTTCAGATAATTTGCTTTTTTCAGGATCACTGTTAAATGTGACATTCACCCTGATATTCCCTAGTGGCTGTTCAGCTCATGCACATGTAGCTTTTCCTTCAGTCTCTGTACCTAATGGACCAATTCACCGTTCCAGCCTCTCTTTTAGCTTCTACCTTGGAGGTAGAACTAAACTTTCACTCCCTACAAGAGTTGAATGGAATTTTTTGGGAGAGACTGTTGGGGTTGAGCCCTGTTCCCAAAAACTCATCATCAGCCCCTTCAGTCTCCACCAATGTCATTTTGCCGCCAACCAATGCCTCTCTCAGCAGATAAAAGCAAGAATTTCATAAAATTTTAACCCCAGGGAGACTTTTTCTTCCCCAGCTCTGTATTGGCTGAACATGTTATTTATTCCTCTACTCATCCACTTCCTGTGCTACCTAATTAAGGTAAGACACTGGCCCTGTAAAACCCAGATCAGCCCAGCTTGCCTTCTTTTGCCTATAGATTTTCCCTCAGACCTACAAGACTACAATATAGACCAGAGATTTAGGTACCTACATTCAATGGAGATTGAGATGCCTCTTTTTTTGCTTAGGTTGATTTTCGGTTCTGCTCCAGGCACAGTGCTGTCCCCAGCTCTGTCAGAGGACTCCCTTGAGTGGTTTCCCCTGGGCTGCTCAGCACATGCTCTCCACACATTTGTAAACTCCTCCAGTGCCCTCAGTGTAGCTCAGGCTCGTTAGGTTGCTTCCCACTGCACAGAAGAGCTATTTCATGTATTCACTCATAGCTGGAAAGCATAAACATTCAGAAGCAAAACATTACTCAAAGTCATAAGGATGGAAAGCTGCAGTTGTAAAATCTTGTGTAGAGAAGCCCATTTTCTCTTGTGAAGAGCTCTCAGGCACCATATCAAGCCTGTGTTTTGCTACAGGAGGCATCAGCTGAAACAGCGGCAGCCAAAAGGCATTGATTCGTTTCATTTATTTTTAACTTTCCTATTGAAATGCCTGAGGGAAAAAAAAAAAAAAAAGGGAAATCACTCCCTTGGAGAACCCTTCAGCTCTGGGAAAGATACCTGCTGCAATCTAGAAACAAGCTTGTTCAGGGAACAGCCAGACCAAGCACTGCCCAGGGGGCTGCAGTTTGTTCTTTCCTAATCTATTTATTTTAACCGTGAGCACAGCCACCTCTTTCAAAGGCTGTGTGCTTGGTTTTTGGTTTGGGGTGGGTTTTTTGGGTTTATTTTTTGGTTTTTTACTCCAGCCATGGGGGTGATACAAGCAAGAGCAGTGAGAGCCTGAGCCTGGGCAGCCTGGGCTGCGTCAGCCAGCCGGTCACAAGGATGTCTGTCATGTGCTGCTGCTCCTCACACAAAGATCCCTTTCTTTCCATGCCCGGTGGCTTCTCCATCAATGAGAGGACCTTGTCCTACAAACAGAAATCAAACGTCCGTAATTGCAGTGCCACTCATAAAACATGACTTCTTTACCAATTTGTGTGAGCACTTTGACCTCCTGCCTCAGTGCAGCAGACTTCCAAGATTCTTTTTTGTCTCTGTCTCTTTTGAAGACTGTGCTGAAAATACTGTAGGAAAGTTTATTTGGGGAGTATTTTTGATCCATCTCAAGTAAAAAGCTAAGCTGGTGCACTTCTGTCAAAATTGCACTGAATTGTCTGGAGTGATTGCTAGCTCTAAAAAACAAAAATGGATTTCAGGTTATGGTTTATTTTTGCTTAAATTTAGAACTGCTTTTGCATGAATAACTAGTATTATGTATTTTCAACAAAAATCAGAACAAAATTTCTGCTCCACACAGCTTCCATTCCTAAAAAAAGTGAAAAACTTAAGAAGGTTGAAAAGAAAAAAAATTTCAGTGCTGAATAGCATGGCTGAGCAGCTGTCTTATTTTTTCTTCCCTAAATTGGATTATTGCTATAACTGTTCTTTCTAAGTTAAGATCTCACTGGGGGGAAGGAAGAAAGTTTCTAGGTTTCCCAGCAGGAAGGTCTTTAACAAGAAGTTAATGTAGGATAATGAAGGGGTCAGGAAAATCGTAAGCACAAAGGGATTGTCCAGAAGGCTGTGCAGAGAGGAGTGCAAATAAAGATATTAAAGAGGAGGGGAAATGTGCAGCAACTCTTGAATTTTAACCAAGCTCTTCATGCCACAGCACATCACCCTGGGCGCAGCAATGAGCAGCACCCATGGTCAGTGTCCCAAGTTGTCACAGAGAGGGGAAACTTCTTGTTTGTTCAAGTGTTCTTCTTGAAAGGGAAATACCTTACAAGTGACAGGATTTAAAGTCTAGAAGATACATAGGAAGACAATTCTGTTTAAACACAAAGCTGAACCGAAAATACAGAGAAGAAAATATTTTGGGGATTTTGAGATTATCCTTAAAATTTGGATTTCGAGATTATGCTTGAAGTTTCTAACATTTAACTCCAACAACAGGGAAACAGAACAAATTAACTGGGTTAGCAGACCACTTAGATTTGCTGTTGTTTTTCAGTCAATAGGTCACTTCCCTGGGTTAAGGGTTGTGCTCTGCCAAGCAGCAGGATTTTCTAGCTGGTCCTGTATTGATGAGAAAATAACTCTCGGATTCTATGGTGCCATAGGTCATCAATAAAATAAGAAATTCTTATGTTCTTCAATACTGCAAAATTTCTGTCTTTAATATTCTTAGAGTATTATGCTATTTTTCAAATATACTACAATTTTTTCAAATATATTAGAAACTCAGCTGGCTTTTTTTGTAAGTGGTTTTATAGACATTATCTTCTGAATTCCCCTTGAGATGCTGTGTACTAACTGTGCTAATTCAGGTTTATTAACTAGAGTGGGATTTTGCCAGTTAGGTCCCTTTAGGGTCAGGCTTGGACTCTCAGAAGTCTTATAGCCACGGAGACTATTTAATCATGCAGATGTAGGTTCCTCTGTGATCTGTATAGTTGTGTTTGCACTGATACCCCTAACAGTGAAATAACTTGCCAGCTTTAAACACTGTGTATGGTGAATGAGAGCCAGCACAAGTACCACTGAGTTCCATGAACAGATCTGTTGCTGAACAACATTATTAGCAACAGAAGAAAATGCTATCTCATCTACCAATTTCAGGAGATTTTATTGTTCCCTGATAAGATAAGAAGATTCCACATTCCTTATTTCAGAAAGAAGTGGTTTTTATCTGTGAAATGTCCTCACTTCTCAAAAAAAGATGTCACAGGCTAAAATACTTAAATACTGCCGAAAATGACAGCTCTCCCCTTTCCTTTTGCCCTCAGCAAAAATGAAGTCTTGGCTAGCTACTGGCATTTTTTTAGGAATTATGCCTGCTCAGTTTTTTTTTTTTTTAATATTGCTGCAACTTTTTTCCCTGATTCCTGCAGAAATGAGGCTTATGCAATCCTGCTGCGTGCGTTTGTATCTTCGTCACTTCCACACCCCCGAAATCTTTTGAACCTATTGACAAATTTCAACCCATTGATCTCTCAAAAAAAATCAAGTTCCTACAAGCTTTGTGAAAATAACCTGCTCACAGAGAGGTTGGCTGCAGTGTGAACAGGCACCATTTCAGACAGAGGAAAACCCACTTTTAGGAAAAGTGTTTATTTATAGACACCTGTCCATGGGGAGCATTTCAGGGAAAGCTGTTTCCTTCCTTCAACTGCAGTCAATTTAGTTTGAGGCTCTGGTCTTTCAGCAGCCAGGCTTCAATGTACTGATCTCCACAGCATGAGGGAATACTGGTTTGCAGTAATGATTTACCACCTTTACTGCATTTAAAGCAAATGATTTTAAAAAACACTTAATTTTCCATTTCCTCTCCTTTTTTCCCCTTCCTTTTTGTTAAGAACCAAAAACTGCCCAATAGCCTGTCTCTTAAGACCAAGACATTATGCCCATCACGCTAGAAGTCAACCCTTGACCTTTAACACTGTCACTTTTCTCTGTGGATTCTCTGAGGTTAAAGTTACAGAATTGCTGAAACAGATAACAGAGTGCAGAAGGCTGAAAAGTGACTGGGACGAACCTCCAGGGACAAAGTTAATCTGTTGGAGCATTTCCTGTGTGTACTTTGAAACCTCTCAATTTAACTTGATCAAAGCATGAGCCGACACGTTTCAGCTCCCTACTGAACAAACAAATTTGCTGCTTATCGTTGTTGCCACCTCAGCCTTTAATTTACTTTACTTAGTAAGCCAGTACATGTTAAATGAACAACCTGGTTACTACAAATGCTGGGTGCTGGTCTCCAAAAAAGGCTGCAGTTTCCCTGACATTATTTAGCTCAGCACATCAAAGACCGTATTTTTCACCACAGTCTCAATGTAAAAGGACTGCAGCCAGTGTGGTCAACAGAGGCCTCTTAGGGACCACTAGATCCATCAGCATCCATTGGCTTATATTTCAGTATCTTGGGATTCTACCTTTCTTTTTCATTAATTCCCACAGAGCATAAGTGGACTGAGAAAATAAATGGTGGTGCTTTGAAAACACATTGGTTAAATCACATTAGCACCTCTCAAAGCGCATATGGATTAACAGCTCCTTTAAAGACCACTTTTTTATCAAAAGCAGTAACTAATACTTTTTAAAATGTTCTGGTCGTTGGGAGTATTTTTCCCAAAAAATATCTTTAGTCAAGTTAATAATAACAACAGTAAAGTCTAGTGTGAGATGTTGCATGAAGGGAGCATGGCCAGACATGATAATGAGCTTAAGTGACTGCTTTCTGTTTTTAAACCAAAACAACTTGGCAAGTGTTTTTAAACCAAGTCTAAAGTATTTTCATTGTTTTCCACTTACTTAAATCCACTGGCCCATATTTGCCTTTCCTTATTCTCAGAGAAATTGAGTCCAATGATTTGAACTGTTCTTCAGTGCTTCTCTGTGGCTGCAGAACTCTTGAACTTGGAAATTACTCCTGTCCCTCCAGGGTATAGATTTCTGGGTCCATCATGCAAATATTGAAATTTCCCAGGCTAGAGGAAACAGTCAATAAACCAACTTCTTAAACCAGCCTTCCTCCCAGAGCAATGCTAGAAGGGAATGTCACCTGGCATGGGTAGGTACAGATATAACCTACTCTTCACCCAAACCATGCTTGCCTTTGGCAGCTTCTTTCCTTCTTTCAAGTAAAACTGACATCTTAAAACATTCTGCAAGATCAGATATGAACCGTAATCAGTTTTTATTCTACTTCTGTGCTCATCACTCATTGAAAATGCAAAATACTTAGACAACGTAAGTAATGATGGAAAATTTCTAAAAGAGTGCAGTGCAGTGACACATCTCCTCCTGAAATTAATGGGACACGTGTGATGCTCTCCTGAACAATTCCCTCAGTGTCATTCAGAGACTTGTGAGCACCTCTGTAGGAAATGACAGGGCACCCAGCCACATGGCAGTGTCTGCTGACATAGATCAGCCTCCACAAGCAATTCAGTAATAAATGTATCATGTCTTTCCCCATAATACCCACAGACTAGTTAAGTTTAGGGGTTTGTGAAGCTTGCAGGTGATCTTTTGGTTATCCTGGCATGTAAAACTCTTTTAGTTCCACAGGGTTCCCTCCCAATGTGGACTTGCACTGATTACTCTCTTTCTCCATGTTATTAATTTAAACAAGTTAAGCAACTTATTTTTCCACCTAAATGAAAACTTTCCCAGACATAGAAAACTCCTTGCCCAAAAGAGGAGTTGTCACAAATAAATGACCTGCATTTTGGGGTTACCTTTAATGAATTAGCTGTAATTATTGCAAGATAATGCAAGATTTATCATTTTGCCCACCTGGTTTCAAACTTGTCT